AATCTGCTCCGTTAGAAACCAAACTCTCGATGTCGTGGTCGATTCCCGACCACCAGCAGAATCCTCTTGCCAGCGATTTGGTGCGTGTAATCTCGGAATGAGTCGAGTGAAGTTCCTTCAGTACTCGTAGTGGAGCCGGAACGTAAACACGAGCTCCGCGCAGCACCAAAACAATCGTTACCTTCAACTGCTTGTCCGTACATCAACGTCTGGATCAGCTTCTAAACAGACTTGTCCTCGGCTGTCACTTAGGCTAACATTTCTGCCATCACAGGAAGGGTATCGATTAGATGCATCTCTACCACATCTGACTCCTCAAAAACAGTTTCCGGTTCGGATCGCTTTAGTGGACATCTTGACATCGCATCAACATTGGCATGGTCAACGGACTTCCGGAATCGCACTTCGTAGTCCAAGGATTGTAGAATATTAGCATAATGCTGCATTCGTAATGCAGACATTACTGACAGATCCTTATGTTCATTGAAGGTGTTCGTAATCGCATGGTTGTCCGTCACCAGGATGAACCTTCGCCCGTATAGGTATTGGAAAAATTTCTTGACCCCAAAGATGATGGCGTAGACTTCTTTATCCGCTTGCATGTATTTTTGTTGTGTGCGATTGAGCTCCGTAGCTATAAGTAGTGGCAACTCCAGCGAATAATGCACCAAAAACCTCTCTGATTGAATTTGCTGTTTGATGGCATTGAAAGAATGCTCACACTCTCTCATCCACTTGAAATCCACTGTAGGTTGTTCAGAGGGTAAATCATTGTACTCAAAATTGTCGAAAACCCGGCCGTAGTAATTGATGAACCCAATAAACGAACGTACTTCATAGCATACATCTTCTTCGGCACCTTGTGAATACCTTGGCGGACAATAAGGTATCCGCAGTATTCAATACGTTCGGCAAAAAACTCGCACTTCTTCATGTTTACACGAATGTTGTGGTGATCCAATCTTCGCAACACTTCTTCAAGTCTTCGGTCGCTACACGGTTCGGTCGCTACACGGTTCGGTCGCTACAATCCTCGATGCGTATTCAACGTAAGTAATTCTCTATATTACGGGTAGACTTCCAACTGTAGGTACGCTTGCACTAAATCGATTTTGGTAAACTTGTCTCCTCCCGCTAGAGACGCAAACAGTTCATCTACAGATGAAAGTGGATGCCGATCGTTCTTCAGATTGGGATATATTGTTTGTTTGTAATCACCACGGATCCTGACCCGGGTTATCTGACTTTTTGACGGAAACAGAGGGTGTTGCCCAGCTGCTAGTATCCACCTTGGTTAGAACCCCCTCAGAAACTAACTAGTTCGTCCGCAACTGCTTTTTTTCAAATTGAAGGGAACCTTCCGAGCCTTCAGAAAAACTGGAGTCGCATTAGGTTTCAGGGTGATCGAATCTTCAAACACCTTCCCGTACGTCTTGAAAAACTTGGCCAACGCAGCAGAAGATGGACTCATCAAGTTGATGGTTACGCAGCAAAGAATTCCAATCAACCGTTATAACCTTCAGCCATTCACGGCTCAACAGAGGGTGCTTCCCGGAATCAACGACGTACAGTGGCAACGCGCTTCTTTTTCGTTGTATTCCACATAGGCATCGAAAACACCTTTGACGTAGGTATCGGTATTGCAGTAGCTGACCACTTCTTTCCAAATCCAGCCCCGAAAGTATTTATCGAAGTAATGGGAATTGATCATGCCAACTGGACTTCCAGTATCGACCTCGAAGCAAACAACGACACCGTAAACCTTCATCGTCAGCCATAACCTCTTTTCCAGCAAACTTCCAGCATTGTCACGTAGATCAATGTAGTTAGTTTTCGCAGCCCTCTGCCGGCTGGATTCACCCTTATTTGAAGCTGGCCCAAGGCGAATAAGCCAATGGCTGAAAGCCTTGTAAATAAAGGAAAAACTTATTTGCATCAGCTTTCTTCATGCACACTCGTTCCAGGTGTCCATTGATTTTACAATAAGAGCACACCGTATTCTGGTAGCGGCACTTTTTTTTGCTAGATGTGACTTATCGCCGCAGCGATAGCAATGCAGGTCACCAGTGGACTTGCCAGCTGAATGACTCAATCCTCCCACTTTCTTAGGCTTAGGCTTACCTGGTGGGTGATGTAGGGCATGTACTTCCTGTTTTGCAATAGCTCCTTCTATTTCGGCACCTTCTTTGAGCGACATCTCCATGCTAACTGCAATGCCTTATGCGTCCTTCCGCGTCAATTCTCGTCGCTCAATCAGACGACCGTGTTCCTTAAGGCGGTCTCCAAATAGTTGCTAAAGTTGCATGTGACAGCAATCCTTCGTAGCGCGACGAGATCTAGAGTAACATTTAAAATGGCCTATGTCCAAAACGTAAACAAACCAGAAAATGAATTTTAAATTTTGACCGTCATTATTCAATTCATATTTAAGAAAATTGAAGTATTTTAGGCATTTATATTGTTCACAATAACAATAGTAACTGTATCTCAGTATACAACATCCAAAATATGCGAAAAGCTTTCAAAATTATATGAAAATCGATAGCAATATAATTTCTTAAATTAATAAGCCTTTTTTGTGAATCTTTCAATGGATAGGCCCTTTTTGTTAAGCCGTTGTGCTTGTCATCAGAAATGGTAGGCCCTTTGCTAAGCCTTTTCGCAACGTCAAATAAATTCAAAACAAATCAACGGCCCTGCCTCAAGCAGTAGGGCCTAGCTTTGGTTTGAAATTTTTCAATCATCGGCCTTTCTACGTCACTAGGCTTATCAATGAAATGAAATAAATGAATGGTTGGCCGTTTTAGCGTGCGGGCCTATTAATCAATCGAAAAATTTCGTTGATCGGCCGTTTCGAAAATCGAGTTATTTTTAATGATTTTTCTCGATTATGCGGAACTTTCCTACACGATTAGTAGCTATCAAGCAGTGCTAAAGAATGGTATCAAAACCCGATTTGTTTACGTTTTGGACATAGGCCCATTTCAAATGTTACTCTAGAGATACTCATCGCGTTCTTGTCTCCCTTCCGAAGGTATTTGAACCACTTTATCGCAGGCAATCTCGTACGTATCCGTTTCCATCAAGTGTAGCAAAAAGTTAAGACGCAATTCATCAGCTTCGACTCCGTAAATCGCAACGCCGTCTCCAACCTCGCCACCCATCGGCTCCATCGGGCTTTCGGTCGAAAGCGTCGAAGTTGAAGTTCGGTGGCGAAGCACCTCGTTTCGCTGTTGGAGGATTCTGTAGCGCCATCCTTGTCTACCAAAACTGTGGTATCACCGTAACGGATGCGGAGCAAAAAGTAAAACGTACAGACCTTAAGTGGACCCTACACGATTGCTTTTATTGACAATAATCGTATTGTCAATACATTCTATATTGACATCAATACATCGAGATTGACAATATTTCTGAATTCACATCATCAATATTATTGTCAATAATTCCCCTTCGCGTCAATATATTGATGCGTGTGGGGTTTGCTTTAGAGGAAGAGGAGAAAACTGGCTTCTATTTGTCTATAGCAAACCCCACACGCATCAATATATTGACGCGAAGGGGAATTATTGACAATAATATTGATGATGTGAATTCAGAAATATTGTCAATCTCGATATATTGACGTCAATATAGAATGTATTGACAATACGATTATTGTCAATAAAAGTAATCGTGTAGGGTCCACTTATGACGTGTTCTTCTTCTCTCGCTGAAACGACCGTGCCATAACGATTTCATTATGGGCGACACAGTCGACTGTCAAAATACAAGAAAATAGATTCCCTGTTGAAAAATTCTCGCGTTTCTATACGTTCGCCAGACCAATCAGGTTTGCGTTTGACAGAAAATTGGTTCATAAAAGTACCGCTATCGTCTCCTTTTCCTCTTAGGTTAAATATTCATCTAAATATATGTCTAGCTTAAGAATTTTCTTTGCAGATTTTTCTTTTTTTGAAACACGAGCGGTTCTTTTAAGGCCTATTGTAGCGATAGTTTTTGACATCTTGGAGGAGCGATGGATCAACATAAGTGTTCTTTATGCCCATTATTTTCTTTAACCGGAAAAATACAGATACCGTATGACGAAAAGTTTACATATAATTAAATTTCGGCCTAGTGAGCCATTCGGCCTAGGAGCCATTTGGCATTTGGCTTGATGGCATTTGGCTTGATCGCATTTGGCCTGAAGACGCATCACCATAAATGTCTTCCTGAAAAGAATCTGCTCTGGAGCTTGAAAGGATTCCATTTAAAAATTTAAGAACATCAGATATATAAGCTTATATATTAATTTAAGCAAAATAGCATCGATAGTGTGCATTGGAGTTTCGAAATGTACATCCTTTAAATTAGCTTTAAAGTTAAAATGCAAAGTACTTCACACTAGTACCTAAAATTTTGCCTAACATTGTGTCCAAATAGTGGTGAACTTACTCCACACAGCCGTGGTTGAGTTCCCGAGAGAATCTTGAATCGATGAGCGTTAGCTTACTCTCGCAGTAGCGTAGCAGTGATGAGAGAATGAGAATGAGTGCTGCGAGCATGTTTTCATACTTCTGAACCATCATCGGCGTACATGTTGCCTACTTTCGGGCAGTTGACTGCCAGATCGACGACGACGAAGGTGTTAAACTCTCGGAGCAATCGAGTGTCATACTAGCAGGTCTACTAGTTCGGTGCGAGGAAAAGAGGAAAAAGTGAAGGACACGAGCGCGACATCAAACCACCTGCTAGCTGGCGAGATACGGGCGCTGTTCCTGTATGCGGGAGATAAGCATGTGGAGGCTTTGAAGTGGAGTGTTGTTATCCTTTTGAACAGCAGTAAGGAAGCAGGGGTGAGTGAGGGATTGTGATGTGCTTCGGTCCTTCAATCGATGGACGATATTTGATCGCTTCGGGCCCAGTGCACAGATGATGATGGATGATGGCGGTGGTGTTTAAACTTAAAGGCATGAGGAATGAGTATACCGATGATGTTATTTTCCTTCTTCTTTCAGTCTCTCTAAAGAGTTGCTGGTGGTATTGGAAGTGAGGAAAGCATTGTCTGCAGCGCTTCGGATTTAGTGTTGAAGTGGAAGTTTGCTTCCTAGTGATGACGATGGTGGTGGTGATGTAATTAATGTGTCGGTGGGAGGAAATTTTTAACAAGAGTTATTTGTGAGTGCAGGATTATACAGCGGTCGGCAGGTGGTATCCTGTACATAAGTGGCGTGCTGTGCGATTAGTGTTGCTTCAAATTAAGGAAGCGGAAGCAATTTAGTCGACGCTGGTAAAAGTGTAAGACATCGGACATCGAAAAGACGGTGGTGCTTAAGCAGAAGAACAGGATGACGTAGGCATAACGGAGCAACGATGGAATCAACGATTTAAGCATGGTAAGTAGGTAAATGATGAGCAAACTTGATGGGGCTTTTTGATGAAGATACGGAATAATTTATAACCCAGCGGTAGACGATTACAAGGTTCTCTAGGTAATATAGATTTATCATTATTTGATTCAATGAGCAGAACGTTGTACCATTTGATAATATTAAAACAATACTGACTGTAGGGTAGGGTAAATTTCCTAAAGTGACCACTTAAACGGATGCTCCGAATCATCCGGAAGTCCAGTTTGTGTTGAAATTCATCACACTTCTTGAACTTCGGCTACTGGAATAATCGCGATACACCTTAACTTCCTACTAGTTAAAGATTTCTATGAACTGACGGTTCATCATAAGCTTCGGAAATTTCAGAAACTTCCAGAATAATCATGGCTTCAAAATCATAAAGCGCATTTGGAATAGTTTTGGACGTTATTGCAGTTTTTCAGTTCGTCTCTATTCTTTGAGTCCCAGAAATTTCAGAAGTTTAGAGGGCTCTGGAGTTCTCTGGAGATGTGAAACTCTATAAAAAGTTTCGTTAATATCTTGAACATTCTGAGAATCTCTGGTTTTCTGCATTTAAACTGCTGGACTGATGTGACGGTAAAGAAAATAATTTGTAAACAATAACACACTAGCGCCACCCGGTGATGGCATTCTCAACTAATCTAAAACCATCCAATAGATCTTGTCTTCTGAACGTTTTAGCCAAGCACAGCAACCTTCTATCCTTTTCAGCGGTCAAGTTAAACATACAACTAGGAGTCATAATGCACACTAGCGCCACGTGGTGATTGAATTCTCAACTAAGTGTTCACTGTTGAATCGAGCTGAATTAATACTACTCTGAACTAACTAGTCAAAGTCTCACATATGTTTAAACTAATTCTAGCGCTCAGAATCATAAGGTCCTAACTACAATGATTGATTCTCTTAATCGATTTCTCTTTTAATAATTACTCGACTGAATTAATATTTCTCAGTGCATTTGATGTTGTTGGAATTAGAGGCGAACCAGCCTAAGGCTGAAAGCCTCCTAAATAAAGCTAAATAATAATAATAATGTTGTTGGATCTGCTAACCAATACAATCTTTTACATCACTGTATCGAAAAATTTTCAGAAAATTGGTTCACTTAACTGTGGTAATCCGAACTTAAAATCCATGAAGGGAATCGATCATCGCAGTTAAGGGCCATCCACATTAGATCCGGATTTGACTCGTTGCGGCAAAGTGACAGCTAAATCTATTGTCTAACTGTCAAATTTACGTTAACGCATCGCAAACGGATCTAATTTGGGTGGCCCTTTAGGACCTTATGATTCTGACGGCTAGAATTGTTTTCTTTATGACGAGGTGTTGCTGCCTCGACGCACAGTGCACAGTTCGAAAAAGTAGTGTAACTTTTCCGTTACTATGATGCACATGAATGGAGCGTCATATAAATAGCGTCGTGTTTGTTGATGCTGTTATTGGTCATAGCCGTTTGCTGATTGGCACTTAACCAGCCCGCCTACAGTGGTTACAGAATGCTGATGGTGAGGGTATTTCAGGCTGGAACGTCAACTGTATCTCCAGCAAGTGCTGCTTTGATCGATGGAATAGATTTTTGGATTAACTTACTTATACTGGTCCGACATCCCTCACGATTGCACCTGCATCACAATGTTACGCCAATTCACTCGGTCCGTGGCTGCTTGTCTCCAATTTCTTAACCGTCTCACACTTCTAAGATCCTGCTCCACTTGGTCTAACCACCTTGCTCGCTGTGCTCCTCTTCGTCTTGTACCGGCCGGATTACACACTTAACATTTTTGGCCGAGATTCCAACAGCCGAGTAGTTCTGCAATTTATGTTGTTGACATTCAGTAAAACAATTGCCGAGACTTAGCTAACAAATATCATTTGGCTGAGATATCAGCTAACAAACAGATATTTTGCAGAGATATCAGGAAAAGTAAATGCCTGGTTAATCGGCTGTTGGAGATTTTACCGAGCTAGATTAAGTGTGTAGAGGCAAACACCATTTTTGCGGGATTGTTGTCCGGCATTCTTAAAACGTGTCCCGCCCATCGTACCCGTCCAGCTTTCGCAAATTTCTGGATACAGGGTTCACCATAGAGTTGCGCCATCTCGTGGTTCATCCTTCGCCTCCATACACCGTTCTCACATACCCCACCAAAGATGGTCCTAAGCACTCGTCGTTAAAAAACACCCAGTGCTTGCAGGTCCTCCTCGAGCATCGTCCACGACTCGTGCCCGTAGAGAACTACCGGTCTTATGAGCGTCTTGTACATGGTACATTTAGTACGGAGGTGACCTCAGGGTCTTGTGAAGTCCGTAGTAAGCACGACGCTGCAGTTGTTATCCGACGTCACCAATGATCCGAGGTACAGAAATTCATCCACCACCTCGAACTCATCTCCGTCGATTGTAACGCTTCTGCATATGCGAGCCCTATCCCGCTCGGCGTATTCTCCTTTAATCCAACTTTCTCTGCTTCACATTTCAGCCTGGTGTACTGCTCCGCCACGGCCTGAAACGTTCTTCCGAAAATGTCCACGTCCTCAGCGAAGCAGATGAACTGGCTGGACTTATTGAAGATCGTGCCCCGCATGTTAAAGCCCACATGTTTCATAGCACCTTCTAGCGCAATGTTGAAAAGGAGGCAGGAAAGTCCTTTGCGATAACGCACCCGATATCTTAACGCAGCATTGTACACCATCCATCGTAGCCCTGATCAGTTTGGTCAGCTTCCCGGGAAAACCGTTCTCGTCCATAATCTTCCATAGCTCTTCACGGTCAACAGTATCATAAGCTGTCTTGAAATCGATAAATAGGTGGTGCGTAGGGACTTGATATTCACGACACTTTTGGAGGATCTGCCGCAACGTAAAGATTTGGTCCGTTGTCGATCGCCCGTCCACAAAACCGGCTTGATAACTTCCCACAAATCTGCTTGCTAGCGGCGAAAAACGGCGAAAGATGATCTGGGAAAGCACTTTGTAGGCCGCGTTAAGAATAGTGATCGCTCGATAGTTCTCACATTCTAGTTTGTCACCTTTTTTATATACTGGGCATATTACTCCCTCTTTCCACTCCTCCGGTAGCTGTTCTGTATCCCAGATCCTGACTATCCGTGGGTGCAGACAAATGGCCAACTTATTCGGGCCCATTTTGATAAGTTCCGCTCCGATACCATCTTTCCCAGCTGCTTTGTTGTTCTTAAGCTGTTGGATAGCATCCTTAACTTCACCTATCGTGGGAGCTGGCATGTCCCCCTCATCCGCTGTATCGACGAAGCCATTCGTCCTGCCGCCTTGGACCTCCGCCTCTGCGCCGTTCAGATGTTCATCGTAGTGCTGCTTCCACCTTTCAATCACTGCGTTCTTCTCGTCCAAAACCGTCTGACACTCTTCGTCGAACCAATCGTTTAGTCGATTCCGCTCCATGAACCCAACGGCGCCCTCAGCAGAGCTGTTAATGGCTGCTTCCACGTTGCTCCAGCAGTCCTCAAGAGGGGCTTCGGTGAGCTCTCCCTCATCCGGCAACGCTGCGTCGAGGCAGTGCACCTTGATCATTAGAAGGTGGTGGTCCGAAACGATATTTGCGCCGCGATAGGTCCTGACGTCGATAATGTCCGAGAAGTGCCTTCCGTCGATCAAAACGTGGTCGATTTGCGATTCTGTCTGCTGCGGTGATCTCCAGGTGTACCGATAAGGGAGGCTATGCTGAAAGTAGGTACTACGTATTCCCGTTCCAGCTGCGCGTAAAAAGCGTCTTTATCGTCATCGTCACTTGCTAAGTGAGGGCTGTGCACGTTGATTTGGCTGACATTGAAGAAACGGCCTTTGATCCTCAACTTGCACATTCTGCTATCGATTGGCCACCACCAAGCACGTGCTTCTGAATTTCGCCCATCACGATGGAAGCTGTACCCAGCTCATGTGTATTGCCGCAGCTCTGGTAGATGGTATAACCATCCCTATACGTATGTACCGATGATCTCTTCCAGCAAACCTCCTGCAGCGCTACGATGTCGAACTTGCGGACCCTCAATAAATCGGAAAGAATGCGGGTACTTCCCAAGAAATTGAGTGACTTGCAGTTCCATGTTCCGAGTTTCCAATCGTTAGTCCGTTTCCGTTGCTTGCGTCTATGCCGATTGGTCCGGTCCGTATTTACATTGCTTGCTTCCTGTACTTTTGTTTTTAACGGCTGGCTTGTAGGGCCTGCACCAACCCCCATTGTCTCGCCGGGGGACCATCGTGCACAGCACTGTTTAGATTCCCACGCTGGCACCAGGACGTTGATCAGCCGCTCCTAACATGGAGAACAGACGCCGTTTTGAGCCGCACCTCTATGGTGAACAGACGCTCGAAGAGAGGAGTCCCCCCTCCCTTCCCTGTCAGCATACGACCAAGGTCTTCCCTATGGTTACTCGTACGCCAGCCGGCACCGCGGGGAGGTAAGGATAGGAGTTACTAGACAAGAGGCTAAGGACCGCTAGTGGGGTCTATTTTATACCTGCAGATACGGGAAGTATCAATGGTACGCATTGTCCAGGCGTTTACCAGCCTAGGATTGTTTGAATATGATTCAAGCCAATTGGTTTCATAATAAATTTGATTGCACTCTGGAACTTGTGTTTTGCTCGAATAACTATGAGGTAACCGTCGCCGGCGCCGGTGGTGTAGTGGTAAGCGTGACTGCTTTCTAACACCCCAGTGGGTCTGGGTTCAATCTCAGTCGAGGTCGGTGGGATTTTTCTGATGCATAAAAATCTCTGGTCACGTCTTCCTTCGGAAGGGAAGTAAAGCCGTTGGTCCCGGCCCATGGGGTGTTGTTGTGATGTTGTGAATGGGTGTGATATCCTACGCAGGTGTGGAAGCTGCCTTCCTGCACATTCGGTTGCCGTCAATGGATGGCAATCGATGTCCGTCGGTGATTGGCACTAGATTGCGGAACAGAGACCGACGTTAAATAAAGGAAAAGAAGAAGAAGAAGAA